GGTAAACAACAAAGACCATACTTTTCCCTTTTCCTATATTACTTTGTAGAAGCCCTGGGGGTACAGTGGTTAAGTGTTCGGCTGCTATCTGAAAGGTTGACAGCTCGAACCCACCAGCTGCTCTGAGGGACAAAGATGTGGCAATCTGCTTACATAAAGATTTAGTCTTGGGAACCATATGGGGCAGTTCTACTCTATCCTGTAGGGTCGCTATGAGTCAGAGTCAATTTGACAGCAGTGGCATTTTTTGGGTTTCATATTCCTTTGGAATCTCAGCTGGGGTCCTGGGGCTTCCACCAAATGCTCTTCAAAGCAGCTGGACTCCCCAGGAAGCCCCAGGCGGCGTAGAGTCTAATCTTCAGGTAAAAATTTACCAGAGACACAGCCTGTAGAGCAAGCCTCCTTGGGAAAAGCAGAAGTCTGACGTCAACCAAGCACCTGCTAGGGGCTGGGTGGTACTAGTTCTTTTACACTGAAAAGCTGCCGGTTCTGCCACTAGCAGAGCACATCACTGCACCTCAAACCTCTGTTTCACCATCTGATGACGTGGGCCACGACTGTCAAGGGCTCTCCCAGCTCCTCAATTCCAGGGACCAATGTGTGAGCAGCAGAAGGACCCGTCATCTGGTCTAGCAGCACATCCCACTAGGAAGGCAAAACATGAGGGGGCCAGACACAACAAAAAGCAAGTTTAACAACTTTGTGCTCCAAAGCCGTCATGTCTCTGCAGGTTCAAGACCCAGGTATTGACAGAAGATGGGGCAACAGCTGTGTTAAGACACTTTCTACAAAATGGTGAAGGAGAGTGCCAAAAAGTCCTGCTCTCCAGAGACTTCTTGCTTCATTCATAAAATGAAGACTGTGGCTATAGAAGCAAGCCTTATGTTCTGGACTGGCTCATGATGAAGTAAGTAAAGAGGCCTTCAGCCACCTGTGTTAATAAGCCCCCACAGTGACCTCAGCGCAGCCTGTCTCAACCTCAGCACAACTGACATTTGGGGCTGGATCACTCTTTGCTACGGGGACTGTCCTGTGCACTGTACAATGTTTAGCAGCCTTTGTCTCCACCCATGAGATGCCAGTAGCACTCACCCCTGCAGACATTGCCAACTGTCCTCCTGAGAGGCAGAATCACCCCAAGGTGAGAATCTTGAACTTGCAGTTACTTATTGAAGCCACGGGACACCTGTGGTGGTGTTACTCTCCTTATCGTCATCCACCATGGTGCAGTGCAGGCTACCATGAGCAGTCAGCAAACAGGCCTTGTCAGCACACTCTGCCCAGGCAATTCTACAGTTTATGCACTCCTGGCAGCCCAAGGTCTCCAAAATGCAAGTAGTAACAGTACTTAGGTAAAAGAGTTGCTTATTCATTCATTAATATATCGCACTTAATGTCAGGGCCAGGCAATAAGCCAGGGCAAGAGGTGAGGAGGCCCAGTCAGAGACAAACTGATATACGGTGCTGTACTGCAACCTTTGGAGCAGGCATCACAAGATGAATCGGGGATGTGATAGGGTGAATGAAGGCCCCCAAAGATGTCCAAGTCCCAATCCTTGGAACATAGCAAATGGCATGTGGCAGGTGTGATTAAATTAAGGATCTTGAAACGAAGAGATTATCCAGGATTATACAGGTGGGCCCAATGGAATCACAAAACACACATGCAAAACTCAAGCCAGTTGCCTCAAGTTGATTCCAACTCATGGAGACACCACATGTGCTGACTGAAACTGCTCCACAGGGTTTTTAATGATTAATTTTCTTTTTTTTTTTTCTTTTTTTTCTTTCCTGTGTCCTTCCCTCCCATGCACGCGCGCGCGCGCGCGCGCACACACACACACACACACACACACACGAGCTATCTCCCTGTGCAAACACTGCCCTTCTCCCACGATTAATCACTCCAAGGAGTGTATCTACCTGATGTAAATGTTCACCCCATATGCCTGTCTATTGTTTGGCTGGAAGCCACAGGAGTGAGTTCAGTTCCAGACCTGAAGGGTAACTAGGGGCCATAGTCTCAGGGGTCTCACCAGGCTCTATCAGACAAATAAACCTGGTCTTTTTTTTTTTTTCCAAACGCTTTTGAGTTTTGTTCCACATTTTTCTCCCACTCTCTCCAGGATCTCCTACATAGATCCCCCTCCAAGTGGCTGACAGTAGTAGCTGGGCACCATCTAGTTCTTCTGGTCTCATGATCATATAGGCTGAGGATCGCATGGTCCACTGGACCTGCAGTGTAGTAAATTACTTAGTGTGGCTTTTCTACCCATGAGTCTTTGTAAACTCCAAGGTGGGATTTGCTACAAGCAATTGAGGAGCTCCTGATTGCTAAAGTTGTCCACCTGGAGTATTTCTGTTGGGAGTGGCACAAAACAATGTTCTAGGAGGGTCCCACTCTCTCTCAGGTGCTTGGAGTTCTGATGCTATGATTGGCTAGTTTGGCCACTCTGCCAAGCTCAAAAGGAGGCCTCCTAGAGGCAGACCTCTCTCTGACTGTTGGTTAAGGAAGACATGCTGCTGAAAGATACACACATTGCTAAGTGAAACACCAAAGGACACTCACCATTGGGAGAGAGACTGTGAGTTGGGAGAGAGACTGAGCATTTTTCCTGAACTTGAATTGTAGCCTGGTGCTTCCCTAATAAACCCCGTAATCTGTGAGTTCTGTGTGGCCACTGCAGTGAATAATCAAACCCAGGAGAGAGGTGGTGGGTGTTTGGGAGGAAGGGCTAAAGGGAGGCAGCATGTCTGGCCTCGTAGGAATAGGCTTTGGGTTATTGACAGTGACTCTGTCTTCCTCTTGTGGGGTTCAAGGAGGTCAGAAGATGTGGCCTCCTTGAGTTTTTTTTACAGGACCCTTAGACTAATTATTTCCATGTGTCTTTGGTTTTCTTCATTCTTCTTTGCTCTGGACGAAGAGAGATCCATTGTTACACCTAGATGGCAGCTTAAAAGCTTTTAAGATCCCAGTTGCTACTTGCCAAAGTAGGATGTGGAACAATGTTTTGTGTAGTATGTTATGCCAATTGAGCTTGATGTCCCCTGTGACCACGGTCCCAAGCCTACTGGTCCAACTACTCACTCCCTCAGGGTAGCTGGCTGCGGCCAAGCAATCACCACAACCTTGTCCCTTGTCGGCTCTACTATACATCTGGACATTCTTACAGCATATACACACACACATGTAGAAACACTGTCTGCCAACCCCATACATGGTCATGGGCATGACTAATTTTCCAGAAGTAAATCACCAGGCCTTTCTTCTGAAGTGCTTTTGTTAGAAGCTGAGTACATTAACTGTTTGCACCATCCAGGGATTCCAGTGCAACCACAGCTATCTTTATAAGGGGGAGGAAGGATGGTCAGGGTCAGAAAGGAGATGTGCCAATGGAAGCAGGGGTCAGAGCTGCACTCACAAGCCAAGAAATGTGGACAGCCACTTATTGTTGTTGTGCTTGTTGATATTATGTGCCATCGAGTCAGACCTGACTCATAGTGACCCCTCTTTGGGTTTCCAAGGCGGTACCTCTATGTAAATAGACTGCCCAACCTTCCTTCCGAATGTCATATGATGGATCATATATTTGTCCTTTTACGTCTGACATTTTTACTCAATACATTGTTTATGACATACATCTATGTCATAGAAGGTATCAGCACTTCATTTCCCTTTATGGCTGAGTAATACTCCATTATATGTGTGTACTACACTTTGTTTGGAAGGCTGGGCAATCTACTTCCATAGAGATACTGGCTTGGAAACTCAAGGAGGGGTCGCTATGAGTCGGGTCCAACTCAATGGCACATAACAACAACAACACCACTTTGCTTATCCATTCATCTGTTGATGGACACTTGGGTTATTTCTACCATTGGACTACTGTGAATAAGGCTGCAATGAACACTGGCATACCTATATTTGTTTAAGTCCCTGCTTTCAAGTCTCTCTATATTCCTAGGCATGGAACTGTTGGGTCATACATATATGGTAATTCTAAGGAGCTCTGGTAGTATAGTGGTTAAGGCATTTAGCTACTAATAAAAAAGGTCAGTGGATTGAACCCACCAGCTGCTCTGCAGAAGAAAGATGAGGCAGTCTGCTTCCATAAAGATTTACAGCCTTGGCAAACCAATGGGGGTCGCTATGAGTCGGAATCGACTCAATGGCAGTTGAGTTTGCTTTTGGAGTTTATGGTAATTCTATGCTAAACTTTTTGACACAGTTGCTGCACCATTTTACATTCCCACCAGCAATGCATAAGAACAGTATGTTTTTGAAGTCTTCTAAACAAAGAAGGGAGAAAAAAACAAGAATGATGGGAAATACTTGCATGATACTCTGGCTAAAAGTCCAACTTAGTACCACTGAGGTCAGCCAGCTGATGTCACTACTGCCCAGGTTTTGGAGGACTAGATTTATTGAAAAATCAACACCGTACTGTGTTAGTAACTCCGCAAGACATTTGTTTTGACCTAAGAATATATTCTGTTCACTCTCTAGGTCATATGTCCCTTCTAACAGCATTTTATTTCATGAACAGAGTGAATCCCACACTTCGGACCCCAGCTTTCTCTTCTGTAAAGCAAAAAGGCCCTAGCAGAGCAGTGGTCTCACACCCGAGGAGTCCCTGGGTGGTGCAAACGCTTCATGTACTCACTGCTAACTGAAAGGCTGGAGGTGTGAGTCCACCCAGTGGCGACTCAGTAGAAAGGCCTGGCAATCTACCTCCACAAAATGAGCCAATGAAAGGTCCCTGGGTGGCACAACTGCACTCAGCTGGTAACTCAAAAGCTGCCTGTTTGAAGCCCCCCATTGCCCAAAGGTACCAGGGAAGATCCAGGCCTGGCAAGTGGCTTCCATAAAGATTATAGCCAAACTGACTCTGGAGCATCCAGAGTCCCTCCAAATGATCACATTAACAAATGCCTCGCCAAAAACTGAGCCATTGAAAACCGGAGCACAGTTCTCTGAATTGAGGTCACCATGACTCGGAGTTGACTCCATGGCAACTGACTTTCTCACACCAGAGCATGCATCAGAACCACCTGGTTACAACACAGACTGACAGGCCCCACCCCAGCATTTCTGATTCACTAGGTCTGGGCTGGACCTAAGAATCTGTATCTCTAACAGGTTTCCAGGGGAGGCTGATGCTGCTAGTCAAAGACACCCTCTGAGAACCACTGTATTAGAGGCTCTCCTCCTCTACCATTGTTGTTGTTGTTGTTGT